CCTTAGCAAGCTTGTTTTTTTTTTCATAGCCCTGTTCTTTCTTATTCCCACATCTTTGGGTTGAACCAATATTTCATAAGGGTTACTTTTTAAAACAGAAGTTTTTTAAAAATTTTAATTTTATTTGTTTATTAGAAACAGAACAGTGTGGAGATGTTTTGCCTATGAGTTTTAGTATCAAGGAGCAGTACCGCTTCTCTATTCTACCTGATGGTGACTGCAGAGAAAATAATGCAGTGTTCACTCTCTTACTCTCCCAATCTCACTTGTTCATTGGCTTTTTTTTTAAAAAAAAGACACCTGAATGCCCTCTGTATTTTCAGTAATTTATTAAAATGCAATGACAGTTAAAATGGTGGCTGCTGTAAGATGGGAATGGGCTAGACTGGGCGAACATGACTTACCACTGGAAAAGATAATAATGTGTTACCACGTACTTCTTGTTGGTGCCTTTCTGTAACTCCATTTTATTTAACAATGAAGCCAAGTCACACACATGCCTATTGTATGATACAACCCCAGATGCCCAGAAGCAATCTTCGTGAGGCTTTTTCTTTAAGATACTGTGATAACCTTCAGGATGTTGCAATTGTTTCTACAGAAGAGCCTGATTTTAACATAGCTTAAAATGCAAAATTGATCAAATTGAGAAATGCCAAATTAACATTTTCCTCTTTCTTACCCAACATTTTTTTTGTAATACCTTTCTTGAAGAGAAGATATAAAAATATAAAAACCTTGCACAGGGAGGTGGAGGTGGTTGAGATAGTTGTCTTGGCAGGGCCATAACAGATTTTGCCATTTGTATGTTGTACTCTGTACTCCTGAGAATATCTGAGATACTTTGTGTGAAACCACTTTCTATTACTTTGAGGCCACCCTAAGGAGCCTCTCTTTAATGGCTATCATGAACCAGTCAGTTGACTTGCCTGATGGAGGTAGCATCATTGAGTTTCAAGGTCATGCAATAAGAAAAGGCTTTAGAAATGGTCAATTTCCTGCTGCAGAGTTTGATGAGGCCGGTCAAGATAACAAATAATGGCTGCTTCCCACAGCTGTTTGGAGGGCGAGTCCATGCTTGATGTACAGATGGACTGAGCAAAAAGGGTAATTGGAACTGAGCTGAGGTGGGTCATAGGGAAGAAGGTTGTCTAGTGGGTCTTTATGGCCAATCTGTTTGGACTGTGTTTCAGATGTACATCACTAGCACAATCAAGACCAAGAGCAGCAGGCTCGCTAAGCCAGTCTTGTGCCTGGGAACTCTTTGTGCCGCCTTCCTTACCGGTCTCAACCGAGTTTCTGAATATCGAAACCACTGTTCAGATGTCATTGCAGGCTTCATCTTGGGAAGTGCGGTGGCTCTCTTCCTGGTAGGTAAACAAATTGTACTATTCTTTTCCCATGCTGAAAATCCATCTCCCATAATGCCCCTTACCTTGGCTTTTCCATTTTCCAGACTCCCTTTCACAAGAAAGAATCTGCTTTACCTCAGCACTCTGTGCAAACAGCAGAGTACATGATAAGAACCACCATTTGGAGTGGCATACATGGCCGCCGTAATGTAATAATAATCTAAGAACTGCCGAGCTGGAAGGGATCCAGTGGGGTCATCCAAGTCCAGCCCCTGTCAAGGAGGCATGGTGGGAAATTGAATTCCTAACCTTTGGTTCCACAACTAGATACCTAAACCACTGAGCTAACCAATATAAACCAGCTGTTTGTTGAGAGGGATGTATGTATTTATTTGTTAACATTTATAACCTATCATTTTCCCACTGATCTTGAAGTGGCTTCCATGGCTCACCCAGTTTATTCTCACAACAAACCTGTGAGCAGATCAACCCAAAACAGGGGGACAGGAACATCACCAGCCAGTGAGTTTTGTGTCTCAATGGAGACAAGAATCTCAATCACACCCACATCCTAGTCCAGCACCTCTGCCAGTAAACCATTCTAACTCTTTCAGAGATGGCCAAAACATTTAACAGAAGGGTAAATAAGTAAATTAGTAATCACCTGGTCTGGCCCTCAGCACCTGTTAAAGACGTTGGGCTGTTCATATGCACACAAAGCACAAAAGAAGACATCGGTACTGAATGCACAAAACATAGGAGCAGAGGAATGCAAAAGTCTGGCAATACCAGTGGAATGTATTTGGCTTGGAGACAGACGTTGCCATCCTTGCAGTTTCTGCACATTCAAAGACGTACAGCCTGCCACTGAGTCTCTGTGGGAACCAACATCTTAAAGTGAGCCCAGGGACTTTTGTTGAATTTTAAATTTGATGTAACTGTTGAGAAGACTGAAGCATTTTAATTTGTTTGCAGATGATAGAATCAACAGTGTGTTTAAAAGCCAATATGATTATTCTAAATAACAGAAGGCAGGTTCTGTTCTGCTGAATGGCTCTATGTTACAAATGTCTGCCAAGCCCATCCAGGTCAGAGCAAGAGACTGAACTGTGATTCACTAATTGAGTGACTTCTGTCATTGCCCCAAAGATGATTTCCTTTGCCGCCTTGTCTCCTGTCCCATAGGGAATATGTGTGGTTCATAACTTCAAAGGAACACATGGAGCTCCTTCCAAATCGAAGCCTGAAGAGCAACGAGGAGTGCCCCTGATGGCGTTTCCAAGAGTGGAGAGTCCTTTGGAGACATTGAGTGCACAGGTGCCATCTATCCTGCCCTCTTGTAAAAGCCCTCCCCATTTGGGGATTTGTTGAAACAGAAGGAGGGAGCTGTGGCTGGTGACAGCTAAATATGGCAACTTGGACGCAACAGTTGTAGGGGGTTTCTCCATTTGGATGTCACACTAAACTGTGCCACAAGTAAGCATTGGGGTTCTATGGTTCCCCTCCTCTTCTGTAGTTCCAAGAAAGACTACATGGAATTCAAAAAATTTCCAGGTTCCATGAACCATCATATGGAATTTTGTCAGAATTGAGAATTTTAATGAGGGTTTCTTGAAAGAAGGCTTCATAATTTGGGATTTATAGTGTCCTTGTTTCAGACAAACCGTAATTAAGATAAAGAACAGTTTGTCAGATTCCCATCACACCACAAGCTGCAATGAATGAAAAACAGAACAAAAACTAGTCTAAATATCTTGTAGCTACAACCAGAGGAAAAAGGGGAGGGACAGACCATATGGCTTCTGTGGCTTATTCTTGTCACACTAAATTGTGGCTTAGCGTGACATTCAAAATCATTGTGTTTACACATTTGCTACCATATATTTCTCAACTACTTTCCCATTTATGAATTCTTCAGCCTACATCCTTTACTTTTCTCTCTGTTCCTTGTACATTCACTCAAGCCTGCCTGGTGCCTTCTGTCAGGTTTTGCTTCCAGCTCTCACATGGATTTTTTGATCTCAAAAAGTGGTGGTCCCTGTGATAAGCTGATGTTGAAGACATAGCAACAGGGTCATTTCCCCAATAAAATAAATTAAAATCTGGCAACAGGAATGACACATCTTTAGTAGGGGGACAGTGGAATTAAGAAGTACAGCCTCTGCCATCCTGGTGACTTCCACATGAATTGCACTACCTCTCCCACATCCCTAGCCAACATGGCCAGGTCACGTGAAGAACACCAGGTTGGGGAAGGCTGTCATTAGTGGGTACAGATTTATAGTCTTAATTTTTTCCCGCTCTTGGATTGTTTTTCTTTTTTGTTACCTACCTAGCTCTTAAGAGTCGGGACCACAACAAACCATACTAAAAAGTATTCTGTGCTTTTTGTCCTTTCTCTTTTTTTCCGTAGAATCATTCTGCCTCTATGACTGAAGTAACCTGATCTGAAAGATGGCAAGAGAAGCTATTTTTTATCGCCCTCCGGTACAATACTCCCACAACAACACACAGTTAAACTAATTGTCAGACTGTGACGACCAGTATTATGTTATGTCTAGTTAGAAGCTAATGTTTTGTACATTTTTTTGTATGAGGAAGTGATGTAGCTTGCCCTGGAAATTTTCCTCCCCTTTTTTTGGTCAGCTTTAATATATTTATGCCAGAATTTAAGACAAAAGAAAACAAACAAAAGAAAAAAAAAGAGCAAACAAAAAAAGTTTTTAAGAAATGTGAGAGACCTTTTCTTGTTTAAAATGTGTTCTGAGGCACTACATCTTTGGGAATTGTTGATGTTTTGTGATATTTGTACACAGACCTCTTTTTGGTTTTGTTTTATATACAATAAATTAAATGATAATTATAATACTAATTCACTTCTACCTTTTTGTTAACAGGGAAAATGCTTCCAGTAGGCGAAGGGGGCCAGATTTGGTTTTGCTGGTGCAATTCTGGCGTATGCCCTATGAGTTTCGGTGAAATTACTACAGAGTTGCCCCAGCACGACAGCAATCTAGCCCTTTGCGCAGTTGATAAATGTGTATTTTTGAATCTTGATTCAGAGTGATTAGGATATGACTGAGAGCTAGTCTCTTGCAAACGTCTACTCGTCCCTTTCAGGCCACCTAAGAAGTGAGTAGGAATTGGGCAGGAGACCCCCTGAGTTGTCTTTCAGGACTGCCATTCATCTCTGTGGAGCATGCTCAGGAAATTGACCCAATGGGCTGTGCCCAACGTGTGGCACACCCAGCCTTGTTGCCTTGAGACAAAGGCCTGGGGTGCTCGGCCTGTGAACACAATCCATGTGGTGTTCCGTGTGATTTTCTTTCCACCGTCTTCCCCAGAACTGCTCCATGAGAGACTTGCTTGTGTAACTCCACAGGCAATTTTTTTAAAAATACATTTTTGGAGCGGTTATCATGGAAATTATGGAGAAAGCCCATGTGCATGTGTTGTATTTCAGATAATGGTCGGCAAAACCATCCGACTGTAGCTTATGGGCCCATGTTAATGTTCATGCTTTTAATGAGAACATTGCAGAATCAAAGCCAAGTAAATTGGTGAAAAGTGCTACTGCACTCATTAACACTCAGAGAACTAGTACAATATTGTTAGCATTTTTATACAGAGATTTGGGATAGAGCCACTTAAAGCCAAGTAAATTAGTGAAAAGCGCTACTGCGCTCATTAACACTCAGAAAACTCGTACAATATTGTTAGCATTTTATACAGAGATTTGGGATAGAGCCACTACGTTTGGAACTTCGAAGAATGCTGGAGTATTCTCGCAATCACAGGCCAAAGAACTGTGGTCTACAATAAACTCAAGCCTGCCTTAGAGCGGCCCTTTATTTAGCAGACATGCTTCTTAAGACCTATGTGCTAAGAGGCATGTAATCATCATGTAGGATACTTCACAGACATGATCATTCAACCACTTCCCGGAGTGCTACCAACCTGTGCGTCTTTGCTATGAAATAGACAAGTGTATCCCTTCCTTTTGTGGCATATGCATGCATTTTTAAAGCCTTGGGTAACTTTGGAAGTGGCACTTATCCTTGGACCAAATATATCTGACCCTTAAATAATGGACATATGGAAATGTGTGGCCTCCCAGGTGTATCGCAAAGGGTCCCCACTTGGTCTTGAAGGTTTGAAGCCGTTACTGTGGTTCCACCTCGTGTTTTGCAATAGGAGGAGTGTAAATGTTTCATTGCTACATTAGAGCATCATGTGACAACCCAGAAAGGAGCCTTAGGCAAATAAATCTGTGACTCAGTTCTACTGGTGCTAATGTTAACACCGTTCATGTTGATGTGAGTGGGAAATCGGACAGCTGGGCTGTGTGTCACACTTACTATGCAGAAAGCAGCTTAGTTGTGCCTGTTCCAAATGCTGAAAACTCCCTCCCTAACTTAATAAAATAGGAATTGTGTGCCAACTATTCTGACTTACAACCCTTCTCCTGGTTTTCTAGGTTTAAAATAGTCAGACGTGGTTTGCCAGTCTCTCCTTCTGGTAAAATTCTGGGACTGAGCAGATTGCTGAAGGCCACACAGTGTGGCTCTTCAGGAGCTACGGTGGAGAATCAAAAGCTTTACCCTGGCTCCACAGTCAGATGCTCCAACTGACTGAGCCAGCCAGCAAGCTAGAGGAGCTTTAAGATCTATACAGAAGGAAGCAGAATCGATGGCTGAATCTTCTCCTTCACTGGACATTTTTGCTGATCTCTTTAACACCTCATCTTCCTTACTTTTTTGCCTCCCAGCTCAGGAAGATTAGCTGTGCAAAGAGATAAATTATGTTGTCCTTGGAAAAGCCAATGCTTTAAACATGACTTCAAGATGCTGGCACTTTCCTTGTTTGTATGTAGGGTCCATTCAGAGTTTTGAATAGGCACGCACTGGCTGCATTGGATATGGTAAGTGCAATGTGCAGCCTAGCTCTTAAATCGTAATGGATTTGGGCCTGCCTTTCCCACAGAAGTGCCTGCTTAGTCATCACAAGAACAGGCAATGTAGACCATTTTTGAGTCATCATGTAATAATGCATTTGTATCCAAACCTGGTTTTTCACTTTGCACAGTATTGTTAACAGATTATAAAAGAAAGAGGGGGGAAAAAGACCAGTGTTCTGGTCAGCCTTTTTTGTTCTAGGGTTTTCCTGCTGCATCTCATTTTTCTAGCATGGTGATAACCAATAATGTGTCTCCTTTGAGGAATGAAGCCCCTCTCTGTACTTTTGCTGGAATGTCTACCATGTTGGTTTTTAGTTTTTTGTATATTTTTTTTCCAAGAGATTGAAAAAAAAAAGCTTATCACAAAACTATCTGCATCAGGGCTTTGTCATTTGTTCTAGGAGCTGGGAGAGAAATATATACAGTACTGTCTTGTTTCACAACTACACCACTCAGCTTTCCAGTATACAAGCAACAGCAAACCTCACATTCTAGATTCATCCAAGATGATTCAGTTTTGAGCCTGCTGTTGTCCTCGGGTGTGCCCTGTTACCCCCACACCAGATGTGCAGGGTCTTAGAATTCATTGGACGGAGTGAAGAAATTTCAGATGTACTCAAACTAAGCTGCCTCAGTGGCAGCATGGAGTCTTCCTGGTACTATTTGATTGGTGCCATTTAGGTCTTGGTAGCAACCTGAGAATAATGGGTGTGCCTCCCGCAGATACCTATATCGGGGCGGGATGTTCATGTACTTGGTTGCAAAGCACCTAGAGTAATGATTTTTCCACTAAATGGGTGGTATACAAATGTAGTAACTAAATAAAACAAATATACTCCTAGCTCTACACACCATCGTTCTGTTTCTCCAAACAAACTATCCGTTCTATTTTTAAAAACTGAGCTACCTGACATTTGGGAGAATTACATTTGTAAACCACCTTCCTCCAAGGGTGCACCTTGCACTTCTCTCCTGACACTCCCCTATGGATTCTGTCCTAGTCTTGTTTGGGGAAGTTTTGGGTTTTCGTTTATTTTCAGAAATCCAACCTGTTTTGCCTTTAAACGTGTGTTTTACATTTTTAAAACAAAGCAGATGTCTTAGAAGTTTAGAAAAAAAAAGTCAACTGATGGGAGACTTTATAATTTAAAAAAGCAAAATAAAAGAGGCTTATGATTTACACCAAGGCCCAGCTAGTCAACCCTCTTGCACATTCTGTTTCCGAATCCAGGAGGCATCAATGCTCCTGAGCTCAATTCACTTTTGAAATGTCTGCCTGATATGAGTAGCGAATCTACAGTGAACTCGTGCACTGAAATCTGATTGTCTGGCTTAGGCCTAGCTGAGGTGGCCCCAGGGTGTGATACTGACATAGGTAGATGGGGTGGAAAGGTGAAAAATTTGAAGGGACCAAAGGTACCCTGGAATGAAAGTAACTTTGAATTAAATCAGTTCAATTTTTTTTTAGCGCTGACAAGTATTTGTAGTATCTTGGGACATGGACTGGAGTTCTCCAGCTGGTGTTTAAAAAAACTACAGATTTCAGGATTCTCCAGAATGAAGTCATGACAACGGCAATAGTACAACACTGGTATAATTGTGTGTGCCGATATATACCTGGGAACGATAACTTTTTCAGCAGCCGAGATGTGAAACAAAATCTGCAGTCACTTTTCTGCCCAATTGCTTCCCCTGAAATGAATCTGCTACTGCGCTTCAGTGTGCTTAGCTAATGTGACTGAGCAAGCCTTTGAGGCTTAAAACGGTAGAAACCCACCTATCCCTGCAGGCCTTAAAAAACTCCAGTAACCCATTGATCCAGCGACGTGGTGGTGCTGCGGGCTAAACTGCAGAAGCCTGTGCTGCAGGGTCGGAAGACTAAGCAGTCGTAAGATCGAATCCACACAACGGAATGAGCACCCGTCGCTTGTCCCAGCTCCCGCCAACCAAGCAGTTCGAAAGTATGCACATGCAAGTAGATAAAGAGGGACCACCTCGATGGGAAGGTAAAACGGTGTTCCGTGTCTAAGTCGCACTGGCCATGTGACCACGGAAGATTGTCTTCGGACAAAACGCTGGCTCTATGGCTTGGAAACGGGGATGAGCACCGCCCCCTAGAGTTGAACACGACTGGACAAAAAATGTCAAGGGGAACCTTTACCTTTAACCCATTGATCCATGCACTGAGTGTGCATGCATGACATACACAGAGTGTCCAAGTCCACTAAATCTCATTGCTATTGAAAGATAAGTGATCACCTCCTCAACTGTGAATGTGATGGGAGCCCAAGGAAGGCTTATGGGAATGTGGCTTTTTTTTTGCATTTCTTAAGTGCATTTTGCAAAATGGAAGTGCAGCGGAGGATGTTAAAATGTATCTCTGAAAGAGGGAGAGGCAGAATGAAATTTTGAAACTAAACACTGATGGGCTGCTTAGTTTACAATATAGAACATTGGTAAGTCTGCAGTGACGGAATTCTCCAAAGAACTAAGAAATGTCAATTTCCAAAATCTACCAGCAGAGGGTGATGCCATATAAACAACACAGTCTAATAAACCAGTGTCGTAAAGTGAACAATTAGCTGGAGACCAGGGTTCAAATCTCCACTTGGGTATAGAAACTCACTGGGGGAGTGAAGCTGGTAAAACCATTCCTTAAATATCTCGTTTTCCTTGAAAGTCCTGTTAGTGTCACTATAACTTGGTTGCAACTTGATGACACAGAACTAACAAACAAGACAGGGGAAACAGTAAGTGTGGCTGGGCAATGGAGTTTTTATAAAGCAAAAAAAGCAAAGCGTGCTGCTTATATACCGCCCCATAGCGCTACAAGCACTCTCTGGGCAGTTTACAAATTAATTATGCAGGCTACACATTGCCCCCCCCCAAGCGATCTGGGTACCTATTTTACCGACCTCGGAAGGACAGAAGGCTGAGTCAACCTTAAGCCGCTACCTGGGATTGAACCCCAGGTCATGAGCACAGTTTTGGCTGCAGTACAGCAGTTTAACCACTGCACCATGAGGCTCTTGCATGTTGTGTGCCATCCAGTTGGAACTGACTTATAGCAACCCTAATAAGGCTTTGAGGGCAAGTGGTTTTACCAATGCCATGCCTCCCAGTGAATTTCCATGGCTGACATGCCATCCAGTTGGAACTGATAGCAACCCTAATAAGGCTTTGAGCGCGAAGGTTTTACTAATTCCATGCCTCCCAGTGAATTTCCATGGCTGAATACGGATTCAAACCCAGGCCTCCTGAGTCGTAGTCTGCATCTACCCACTGCACCACACTGGGTATCATAGAACATTTACTCATATCTATTAGTACCCAAAGGTAAGATAAAGGTAAAGGTTCCCCTTGACATTTAGTTCAGTCGTGTCAGACTCTAGGGTGTGGTGCTCATCCCCGTTTCCAAGCCATAGAGCCAGCGTTTGTCCATAGACAGTTTCTGTGGTCATATAGCCAGTGCAACTAGATGTGGAACGCAGTTACCTTCCTGCCGTGGTGGTACATATTTACTGGCATTTACATGCTTTCAAACTGCTAGGTTGCCAGGAGCTGGCACAAGCGACGGGAGCTCACTCTATCACCCGAACTGCTGGTCTTTCAACCTTGCAGCCCAGCAGCTTTTACGGTTTAACCCACATCGCCACCACATCCCTACATATGCAAAATTAGCAATGATTTTTAGAATTTTAACAGACCTCTCACTTGAGAGTGTGACTACCATTCTAATACTGGAACAACTGACGGGAGCTCACTCCGTCACTTGGATTTGATATTACGCCTGCAGGTCTTCCGACCCTGCAGCAGAGAGGCTTCTGTGGTTTGTTCTAATACTGGGACAACCAACGGGAGCTCACGCTGTCACTTGGATTTTATCTTACGCCTGTAGGTCTTCCGACCCTGCAGCAGAAAGGCTTCTGCAGTTTAACCCGCAGGACCACCATGTCCCTCACACCACCACATCCCTCGTACCCAAAAGCCACATACAAAACAACTAAACGTCCTCATAAAGTTCCAAAAATCAAAATGCTGTTCAAAAAATGAACACAATTCATGAAGTATTGCAATAAAAGTGTTGGGACATTGAACAGCCATTAATTTTGCCTCCCAAGTTGTATTGTAAATTATTTGCCTAGCCATAGAAATAGCCAGGAAGGAGGGCAGACAGATCCTTTTTGGAAGACTGTTTTGAACAGCAGGTACTAATTTGAGACTGAAGAAATCTCACAAATGCTTCATTTATGGTCAAGACGGGCTTCTCAAAGATTATCCGACAACAGCAAGAATTCTTGTCTCCAGCTCAAGAATGAGAAAGGAAGTACTTTTCTCCTCCATTATGATTTGTACAAAGTGTGCAAGATATCTAACCTTTTTTCTCTCTTATGATGCTAAGTGCATAGAACACTATTTCCCACCCTTGGGTCCCCAGATATTCTTGAACTACAACTCCCATAAATTCTGGTGTACAGAGCTAATGGCTTATGGGAGTTTTAGTCCAAGAACATCTGGGGACACAAGGTTGGGAACCACTGGCCTAAAGCAAACAAAAGGACAGCTCATAACAGTACAAACCCAGGCCATCTAATGCTTCTATTTTAAAACTATGCAATAACAAGACAAACTACTACATTATGTTTTGCATAATCATATGTATATATGTGTGCATATATACACATTATAATCAAAATTCAGACAAAATCAGTCTCATGTATTTAAACACACGCACATACAGAAATAATCAGTCTTGGAAATGAAGATTCTGGATTACAATCAAAATTCATACAAAATCAGTCTCATGTATTTAAACACGGACATACAAACACACACACATACTGTACATAAATAATCAGTCTTGGAAATGAAGATTCTGAGACCATTACAAATTTTTTCACCTCAAGGGTAATATTCTCCACAATTTCCTGTGGATGAACCAGGACATCACTCAAATTACTATAGAAACTTCTTGGACCACACATTTTCCTCATCTTTATTTTTCTGACCAAAATTTCTTATGATGGGTATCAGTTATTTTTATTCATTTATACTACTGAAAATTGTAACTTTCCCCAGCATGTTACCTTTGCAGACAAAGTACACTACAAAGTACACTGCACTAGAGATGTCTTATTTTGTCAAAAGTCTACAAAAACATGGAAATAAGAGATTTCATGAGACAAATGGACACAAGGTTTACTTAGGGCAGAAAAATGCAAAATGCAACCCTCTGATCCAACGCTGGGTCTCTGGCTGTTCTTGGACTAAAACATCCAGAAACCTTCATCACTTGCTGTCCTGGCCAGGATTTCTGGGAGTTGCAAAGAACATCTGGTGACCCAAGGTTGGGGATCACTGGATGCTGTTGGGACACAGTTCCCATCAGCCCTAGGCAGAACAGCCAATAAGTAAGGTGACATGGGAGTTGCAGTTCAACATCTGGAAGACTGCATTTTCCCCACTCCTGCCTTACAACATAAGACCTGTCTTGGGATAGGCATCCTATAGTTCTCCAGATAGAATGAAACAACCACAAGGCTTGATAAATCAACTGTACTGTTCAGGACGATGGGTACTGGAGTCTTAACTACATCTGGGAAATCACAAGGTCAATAATGGAAGCTAACCAGATGCCCAGAAGGAGCCCATGAGCAGAATATGAGGCCCATCTCTCTCCCCCTTGCTTTATTTTTAACAGAAACTATTGTTCCCAAACATGCTCTGGCACTGAGCGTATAAACGAAATATATCAGCTACACATGGGTAGCATCTCAATTTCTTCCTTAGTTGCTGCAGCAGAACACAAAGCCAATTTTAATTAATCTGCTTCAGCCCATTTTTCATTTCAAAGCATGCCTCCATAAACACTTTACAGCTCTTACCCTTCCATAATGCAGAATGAGAGATGCACCTGTAGGAACAGGTGAGACTGCCTCAAATAAGCTTGAATTATTCACTTCTACCCATCAGTTTTGCTACAAGTCTTGCTGAGCATCTGCAAGGAGGGAGTACGTTGTCAGGAGAGATCAAGGTATTTCAGCTAAAGCCATCATGAATGCTTCCCCTATTAAATAGACACAATTACCTGCTTAGTTGCAGGATCGTCCCTTTCACTTGTGCACAACATGGAGTCATCTTGAAGCATACTGAACACACACTGCTATATAAACTGAAAGTTGTTCTTGCCATGGCTTTATTTTCTTACAAAAAAATTCACTGCATTCTTGATGTACTGTAATTTTTTTTAAAAAAGGAAGATGCTTAGCCTTCTTAATTCATAGCTACACATTGGAAAATAAAATTATGTCAATAGAAGAGCACTGGTGCCCATAACACTTTCAAATAAGATTACTGACAAGGAAAGGCAAAGAGGAGTACAGCTTTTCACAGGTCTTAAACCTAACGTGGTTTGCAGTAAATCAAGTGTTACTTTAACACTATCTTACATATAGATGAGTTAAATGCAAAGATTCCTTCAAACAACAAAAGTAGGCAACACAGGAGAGACTGCTCCTCTTGGCTTAATTGCAGTGACCACTGTTTCTTCCAACAATGATTACATAAAACAAAACAAATAATCAAGCCCCTCCCCCCACAAAAATAAGAATAAGCTTCAATTATTTGCTTCTATAGTTTAGTATTGCTAGTAATGTTAAGCAATTATAAGGAGAAAGTTATTAATATCAGGGCATCTGAAAAAGTCATAACTGAACCAACGCTCTTGTGCCATGTAGCCAAGAATGCAGAATGGTACTTTCATTCACCATATCGGCTTAGTACTGCCATTTGATCCTCAGGTTTGGGGGCAGCTCCTCTGTGCCTAATTCATCAAACTTTGATATGTCCTTCACAGGGATGCTGTAGAAAGCCACAACATCTGCTGCACTCTTCATCTGATGAAGCTGAGAATTAGGAACAGTATGCCCCAGATCTGCTGCCAGCTGCGCCAACAAGCGATACTTTAAACTGCTGTCTCCCAGAGACGCCTTTTGCCAGTCCTTGGCAACTGAGGATCCGAAAATCTCTCGGACATGAGACTCTACACGACTCTGGAGATCCTCAGGAGGGAGGTATTTTCTGCTTTGCGGTAGGGGACAAATTACAACTGGCTCATTAACTGGAACGGCTGATACAGCTAACTCAGGCTTACTTTTCGTCCTGTGGAAAGAAGACAATTTTCTAACATAGCATTAAAACATTTACACCATTTTCATATTAACAATGCCCTCCCAATATATTTTTACCAGTATGAATGTGAATCAAGTACAGTAGAACCCTCATATCCACTGGAGATTGGATCCAACACCCACAGTGGATACTGGAAACTGCAGATAATAGCGAGCAAGTGAGAGTGCATGATAAAAGGAAAAAACAGGAAAAAATATTTTCACATGTATTGTCCGAACCAGAGAAAACACTAGGTATTTTTCATTAACAAGTGTTCAAAGGATGGTGTCTTGCTCTTTCTAGTGGGCAGTTTGGTAGTACATGTGAAAATAGCGTTTTTTTCTGGGTTTTTTTTTTCTTTTAATATTTTTAGATTTTGAATAAGTGAAACTGTGGATACTGATCCCATGGATACGGGAGGTCCTACTGCATTCCCAAATCCAACTCTAATATTTCAGGCCTGTGTAGTATACTAATAAAGAGAATTGTTTTAGTCAGTCTGCTTGGTTTATTTAAAAAAAAAACAGAACAAGCCCATAAGCTTCTATCCATGTCTCCTGCTTAAAGGATTCTAAACCTGGGAAAAAGTACAAGAAACTTACAGGTGGTGTTGGCCTGCAACTCTCATCTAACTCTAATGGGGCAGATGAACAACATTTAGATAGTCGGAAGTTGCTCACTCCAACTCTAAAATGTTATGATTACAGAGGGGGGGAAATGTAAGTTCCTTATTCCAATTTTATTTAAAATATTTTTACTCCACCTTTGGAGTGACTGTGGCCAGATCAGGCCTCCCCAGGAATGGGCGCAGCTACGTAGTTTTAATTGTGCAAAGGCACTCTTGGCCACCACCGATGCTTAATTCTTAATATCATGTTTAATAATATTGTGGCTGTAATTTAAAATGAATGAAACAAAGAAACAAATGAACAATGAAGCGGGAAGCTGTAAGCCTCTGAACAGAACCTCAGACTGTGAGCCAAGCCCGCCACCTTCACACATAAACATCTCCTGAGCGCCACACCGGTCCCTCCACCGCGGGATCCCACCTATTCCTCTCCCCTTCCATAGGGAGGGAATCTCACCGCAAGTCTTCCGAGAATGCTCTGCGCGCAGGGACCCCAAAACTCAGGCGGTAGCCGCAGACTCTTCCGAGCCTCGCGACGGCGGCCATCTTGGAACACACGGAGACCTCTCCGCCGGCGCCGAAGCTACGCCGAAGGGAAGAGCAAGGAACCAATAGGCTTCGCCGAGCCCGTTGCATTGTGGGATTAAGAGACTCTGCTTTTCCTTAGAGATAGAAAAGTAGAGTGGTTACACGTTTTATTGTTGCTTAGTCCGTGTCCGACGCTTCATGACCCCCGCAATTTTGTAGTGATGACAGGATAAAGGAGCAGGTGCCTTTTATGATCTGTGATTGGATTGGCTACTGCAATTACCATAGCAACCAAAGCAGGGACGGATGCCTGTCTCTATTCTGGTCCAACAAAAATTCACGGCTTATTTGCGAAAGTCGTTCGTAATTGGTCAGCGCCTTTATGACCACCAACCAACAGGTAGGGGACAAATTGTAGAGCGGCTAGGACACCCGTTTGACTGACATGCCTAGAGGCCAATTGGCGGTGAGCATGTCGGTGGCGAGGTTAGAAGGGGGACCTTGTCTTTCCCCCTTCCGTTGCCCCTCAAATGGCTTCCACATAGTGTATGCCCGGTGGAAGGAAGGTTTTTGTAAATTCCATGGTTAAGAGGAGTCTTGTTGCGGGTAACCTAATTTAATACCTTTTTCATTCCTTAAAATTTTCAAATTAAGTCGCCATGGCTAATCGTAGTCTTTAGTTTCTTATCCTCTCCCATGCCATGCCGCGTGGCTCACTTGTTTGAGCCATCTAGGATCAGGGTGGATTTTATTTAAATCAAATTTGATTTTTTTTAAGAAGCATTGATTTTATCCACCCTGGCTAGAATAGTTTTATGGTACCCGTTTCATCCATGTTGAGACTTCTTTCTACTCCTGGTGACTGCCGCCCCTCGTTGTGCCAAACTAGCTTCAAACAGAGTTGCCTTCCCACAGTTTGCCTTTATGCTCCATGTCTTTGATTGGCATTCACGCCTCACCCTAAAAGAGGACACACGTAGAAGATGACCAGAAGAAAAAGACGGCAGGACTCTTGTGCTTTTAATTCTTGCTTTCAAGTGGAAATTTCAGTAGATGCAGCTTCTAAGGCAAGCCACACTTGCTGAAGTTTCCTCTTTCAGTTTCCTCTTCAAGGTACAGGAACCTTGTCCTTTTTTTTTTCAATCCAGCCACCCTAAACGTGGATCACTAAAGATAGGATTTGCAGCAACCTGCATATGCTACTGTTTATATACAGATGCAAAAGGTTCCCCTTGACATTTTAGTCAGTCGTGTTCGACTCTAGGGCGTGGTGCTCATCCCAGTTTCTAAGCCATAGAGCCTGTGTTTGTCCGTAGACAGTTTCCGTGGTCATGTGGCCAGCGGGTCTCGACACGGAACGCTGTTACCTTCCCACCGAGGTGGTACTTATTTATCTACTCGCATTTTTACATGCTTTCGAACTGCTAAGTTGGCAGGAGCTGGGACAAGCGACGGGAGCTCACTCCGTCGTGTGGATTCGATCTTACGACGGCTGGTCTTCCAACTTTGCAGCACAGAGGCTTCTGTGGTTTAACCCTACAGATGCAAAATTAGCAATGATTTCTAGATTTTAACAGCCCTCTCACTTGAGAATGTGACTACTGCTCTAATACTACTAGGTGCCTGCTCATTTTGCTGTTGAGGTCCTTCCCAACATAGCTGACCTCTTGCCCTCTGATTCTCTATCTTTAAATCAGATTTATCCTAAATAACTCTTCAAATTAAGGACATGTCTAACATGAAGATTGTCCCCAGGCAGCCTGTCATACTGAGAGCTGCCCTTTGTAGAGGCGAACATGTGGCTGCTGTAGTCTCTGAGGATGTGCAGGTTTTTTTTCTTTTTCTAGTCTCTCATAGAAAAACAAATCTTCAGTCTGAGTAAAATGCCCAAGCACTGACAACCTACCTTTTCTTTTCAAAGACAGTTGTCCTTTCTCTATGAATGAGCACTAGAGCATGGGTTCTGGGCATATGTAGAAGGCATCAAATATATTTTTCTCCTTTTCCAGAAAGAAATCAGTTTTCAAATTTTCAAAAGAAGACTGTTTCCACAAGACTGTTTTTAAATTAAAATGAGGAGCGAGAGAGCCATCTACCCTGCCTTGGGCTTACTGAGGAGAAAGCAGCATATATATGCATATCATGCCAGCATGACACAGCCCAAGAAGCTTGGCTGGATTCTGAAACCAATCATTGTGAGAAGAAACAAGCCACTCCCTCGAAGAGGAAGGTGAGCTGTCCCCTCAAGTGTCCCCTATGCTACGGGACAACAATGGCCCATCTAGGAATGCAGGAGCAAAAGAGTGGGGAAGGGAAAGAGGAGAAGAATGGGAAAGCAATGTGGCATTCACCCTCGTGCCCCTTTCTTGACCATCAAGACTCAGAGCACGCGAAGGCAAACAATCCCCTCTTTTACACTGCTGCCACCAGCTGATCACTAAATCACCATTATTTCTGGAAGATAAAGATTCAGGTCCACACTCAAAAGTCTTTTAAATAAGACTTTTGTTTATTGATTACAGAAATTGATATTGATTCATGAATACAGTGGTGCCTCACAAGATGAATTTAATTCGTTCCATGTTTAATGTCTTCTGAAAAATTTGTCTTGCGAAATGTGTTTTCCCATAGGAATGCATTGTAATCTAATTAATGCGTTCCTATGGGCAAAAAAAGTCAGAACAAAGTCAAATGTGGTTTACAAAGGATTTATTAAGTGCTCTTTAAAACCATACATATTATGCAGATGATTTTTAAAATTTCAGTCAAAAAACTTTAACTTTTTATACATCATAGAAAAACATTTAAAAATCAGCAAACAAGAGGCAGGAACAAAAAACGGAAAGCATTCTTCTTGCGAAGCACGGCCATAGGGACATTTGTCTTGCGAGTCATCAACTCCATTGCCAAAACCATTTGTCTTGTGAGCTTTTTGTCCTGAGAGGCATGTCTTGCGAGGCACCACTGTATCTTCTTTATTAGTTACAACAACTTTCTATTTGATAATACACTCCTAACTCCAATCACACCTCAGAATTTCCCAAACTCCACCCTCTTATCTCCTTCTCCCTTCCTCTCACTCTTTCTCTCTGACCTCTCTGACTCCACCTCTTATAGCATCTCTCTCTGCTCCGCCTCTCAGCAACATGAATATGCATGAACAATTACATAACAGAACATGAACCATTGACCTAATAAAGGGGAACACTACAAGCAACAGTTGGGATAAATCCCTCAATAGCTTGGTGACAGAGGTAGAAGAAGTGCTAAAAAGAGAGGAGGCAGAGGTAGAACAGGAAGAGAGAGAAAAAGGGAAGGGTAGAAAAAGAGGAGAATATGTGGCGTTCGCCCTTGTGCCCCTTTCTTGACCGTCAAGACTCAGAGCACGCGAAGGCAAACAATCCCCTCTTTTACACTGCTGCCACCAGCTGATCACTAAATCACCATTACTTCTGGAAGATAAAGATTCGGGTCCACACTCAAAAGTCTTTTAAATAAGACTTTTGTTTATTGATTACAGAAATTGATATTGATTCATGAATATTTACTTTAAGTAAATTTATTATTAACAACAGGCTTGTATTTGATAATACACTCCTAATTCCAATCACACCTCAGAATTTCCCAAACTCCACACTCTTATCTCCTTCTCCCTTCCTCTCACTCTTTCTCTCTGACCTCTCTGACTCCACCTCTTATAGCATCTCTCTCAGCTCCACCTCTCAGCAACATGAATATACATTAAAAATTACATAACAAAACATGAATCATTGACCTAATAACTGGGAATGCTACATACCTCCCCTCTTAAATATGTTTGTTTGGAAGGGGAAATGCATTTTTCCTCCTAAACAGACAGGCACAATTGCATAACTTACATAACATTTCACAGTTCTATAGATAACATCACATTCAATATAACAATTACCATTCCTATTACTCTAAACATTTTACTAATATTCATAACATTACCAACTATACAGAAATCACAAACATGAAACTTTTACATAAATAATTAAACTGTGAATCATAGTCCATTTCAGTTTATAATAAAAGTCCTAGTATCATTCTTCACGTCTCTGTCCATGGATATTCAATTTTTCATCGCATTTACAAATGTCTATTCCCCTCCCCCATCAGTCATTTGGCTTCCGAGGCACAATCTGAGTCTCTTTTGCAAAGTCCAAGTTTGACATACTCCTGCGGTCATCTGCTTAGCACCACCCCTCTCCAAGTCCACAGCTGGAAGCATCTGTAAAGAGGGTGGACTCACGGTTGTTACTGCCTCCGCTGGATGCTGACAACTGGTACGGTTGTTACAGCCTCCTTCAGCTGGACACATGACTGCTAGCACTCAGGAGTCCCTCTGTTGACCATTGGCTCCTTCCTCTGCAACCTTTTCCATTGACTGGCGGTCATCAGCCACTCAGTTGTCCACAGGATGTCATCTGCTGGTTGTTTTATAGTGACTTCAGTTTTAAGCCTGGCTCAGAGCTTCACTTTCTCAGCTAGGAAAAGGATAGGCAGTTCGCTCTCCTTCTCACTCCTGCATTTGCCCACAGGTACTTTTATCACCAAGTTTTCCCTATGTGGGAGACCACTATCAAGGGTCTCTTTAAGCTTCTCAGGTGAGTTTCTTTTAAGTGCAGTCTTAAACAATTGGTTGGTTTTAGATGCACTGCAGGTGTTACGTGATTCTATTCCTTCATTCAGTGATATACTAGATAAGGGTTTGCTTTGCAAATGTCTACTTGTTTCACCCCTGCCAAAAGCAATTTTCTCCCCTCTATAGTTCTCAGTTCTACTACTAGGTCCTCAGGACAGGCTGCTCTTCTCTGGGCCTCATACAAGCTCTTCTCTTTTCCAGGAGCACTTCCCAAGCTTGGCTCTGCCATCTCTAAGGACTTTTCTTTATATAAAAACTCCTTATCCAGGCAAGACCTTTCAGGGTATTCAGGAGACAACAAAGTGGGTGTACTGGTATCTGCTCCAAAGCAATCTACCCTAATAGTGTCCTCCTTCTGCTCCTGAGCCAAACTAATTTTTATTTAGGGTTTTCACATGCATGAGATCAGCTGCTGAATGATTATTAGGCTTATTTCCAAAGAGTCTTTTTCCCTCCAGGCCTCCTTTGGATGCAGTATCCAGTGCTACTGCAATAGATTCCTGGCCCCCTGGTGAGAGTGTAAGTGCCAAAGCACTCTTAACATGCTCTATCAACTGCAACCCATCTCCATATATCAGGCATTTATCAGTCATAGACCCTTCTGGCTGTTCAGGGGTTAGTGTAATACAATCTTTCAAAATACTAGCACACCTCAGAATTTCCAAACTCCACACTCTATCTCCTTCCTTCCTCTCACTCTCCTCTCACTCTTTCTGACCTCCCTGACTCTCTGCCTCTGCCTCTTATAGCATCTCTCTCAGGTCCGCCTCTCAGCAATATGAATATGCATGAACGATTACATAACAGAACACGAACCATTGACCTAATAAAGGGGAACACTACAAGCAACAGTTGGGATAAATCCCCCAATAGCTTGGTGACAGAGGTAGAAGAAGGGCTAAAAAGAGAGGAGGCAGAGGTAGAACAGGAGGAGAGAGAAAAAGGGAAGTGTAGAGAAAGAGAGGAGAATATTCCAATACGATTGGGATGGCTAGAGATGGAAGATCCCTGGACTCGAGAGAGTCAAGATTAAACTTCCTCTTGAGGAAATAGAAAGGAGGCAGCAGTACTGTCCCATTAGACAGCCTGAGACCAAAAGAGAAAATGGAAGAGGAGAACCTCATAGGAAGGAGAAGGAAGGTATAGCTGTGCAGCTAGAAGGGGCTAAATCTATAGAATTGACC